TTTTTTAAGTAAAGCGTTTGAGCACTTGGACGATATCATATTTTCGTTAAGCAAATTACATAAAATTAGAGAAATTTTACTTAAAATTCAGCAATATCAGAATTGTAATTGTTCAAATGAAGCGCTCAAGCTCTTGGACGATATCATATGTTCGTTAAGCAACTTACATAAAATTTGAGAAATTTTAATTAAAATTCAGCAATATTAGAATTGTAATTTTTCAAATAGTGCATTTCCAAGTACTCTCCGTCGATACCGTTGGGAAACCGTTGGCAAAGTGTCCTGCTGGCGGCGCAAATTGTAAAATCGACCAGTAATATTCTCGCGGATGTTAAAAGTCGTATGAAAGTGTATATAGTGACGGACCGATCACATGCACATAAAATTCGTATTACTCGATTGATTGAACAAAGAACAATGACTTACTGTATAAAATATCTCGGTGAGGTGATAGACGTAAGCGTTCCTCACGTATGTGCGGATGATTCTGTCTCTCCTCTCGCCCTCGAATCCTTGCAGGACATCCTTTTCCGCAAACTTCCAGAGAGCCTCACTCGTTGTCACGCCGAACAATAAGTCATATTTATTGTTGCTCGTGATTGGCGCGCCGTGTTCAGCTTTCTTTGGGAGAGGGCTAACCCATCACAATGTTAGTTTTACAGTTACAATTTGATCGTATAATTAAATAAAAACAAAATTTAATATTTCCTATTTGTTTTCAATATCTCTATTATATATTAAAGAATTGTGGAAAATTGTGTTCGGGGAAACAAACTGAATTAAGATTTGAAGAAAATAACTTGGAGGAACGGCGCAATTACGATTTCTTGTAAAAATATAAGATAATGTAAATAGTTTGAATAATAGAATACGGAAATCATTAGCATCCGCTGAATCTGAAAATTTCGGCTCTGCCTGGTGGAAAACGTAACTTGGAAGTGAAGATGATAACATGAACTCGCTCCACGGTTTCCGGCACGAGCGTGGTGCGATCTTCGATTGTAAGTATGCTAATGACGTTGTAGAGTTGGGGCAGGTCGTTTACAATCGCGTTAATGAACCACGCTAATGTTCGCGGTGGAACCGGCTCGTTTAGCTCCCTTTTTCCATTTAACGAGAAAACTCCGGGATCCGTCAGACGGAAGACGGAAGGCGGAATTATTGTGGAAGCCGACGTTAAGTACGAGACCCCTCTCTGGGCAAGAAAGCAAAGCCGAGCCCGGAAGTGCACACATCAAAATAACTTTTCCGCCGCTTCACGGATTTCCTTTGCCGCTGCGAAAGAAAATGTAGAAATATACGCCGCATTACCATAAAACTCTATTAAGCCCGTTCTACCGGAATCCGAGGATTTTCCCCTTTTCCCTCTTTTTCCTCACTGTGTCTCCAGATTTTATCCTTTTTCCCATTTGCACTATGACCATATCCAAAACGGCACTAAAAGTTCGCGATGCCGAACGCATTTTATCATATTTTTCGCTCTGTATTGATAAAGTTAACAGATATTGAAAAGTCACGAAACTCATATCGATCCAAGCAGATTTGAGAATTTTGGAATAGAAAAAAATTTCCGCAATTTAAAAACTGGTGGAATTGCTTGATATTTCTAACAAAGCATTCTTCTAAGAGTTACAAAACCATAGAACAATTTGGGATCTCAAGGATTAGTACATTTCAAATAATTACCCGAATCCTTGAAACTCAGGGCCGAGGTAGGACAGAAGGTCCTTTTGGAAATCCGGTTTGATGACGACACCATCGACACTTGGGCCAAACGCGCTGAGAAACGTCGGCGGTTGAATGTCGACCTGCATCAGTTCTTCCAGACTGCTCTCCCTCAAACAGTCGACTATAAGCTCGTTATCTTTGAGAAGATCATCGGGAACGGAGCAGTTGACAGCCTTGGCTAATTTCAGAGCGTAGGATACGGGATCTTCTATCACGGCCCAGGACGAAAGGGCGCTGCCCGACAGCAGTATGGCTCGTTTGAATAATCCTGCAAATAAAGAAGTGATTTTTTTCCAACATACATATACATGTATCTGCGAGATCGTATGATTAATTTCATTTAATTTTGACTCTCGAAATCTCTTCACTTGTTGCTATTTTCCGATGTTTAAATTTCGAGATTTTTAAACCTTTTTTTCCATACGCGTATTACTTATTTTAATTTTTTAACGATACGGTCTCTAAATATTCTAACGTAGATATTTGTAACTTTTTCCAAACGCGATTTACACGTCCCTCGGTAATCAAAATCACCTTGAAGCGTGGTATTTTGAATCGTTATGGCTGATACTAGGAGAAACGTTTCAACGATTGCGACGCTGAATATTATACGAGCGGATTGTTTGAGGAGGAAATTATGCCGACGAAAATGACGCTGCGAATGGATGGAAGCCACGTCGCGTCGTTACTCTTCGCGAGAAAAGAAAGACAAACCAAAGTCGCTCTCGAATCTGAAGGAAGACGTGGCCGACGACCCATAATTATCCGCGAAGAAAATCATTCTCACGGACTCACATAGACGTTATTTGCCTAGGGAAAAACGGGATGCTCCGTTCTGTACTTTAAGAAGGAATTTTCAATCTCCGCTTCTGTCGTTGTTGACGCCATTAACTCGTCGGTGGTTGCGTCATAAGCGTAGCGCGAGGATAAAAATTATTTTCTTCTCGCATATCAAATTACTTTCTCCTTCTTCCCCGCTGCGTGAAAGATTTGTCTCAATTCTCATTAATTTACTATGTTTACTTATCGACGTACGTTTTATAGGCTTGTAATTTAGAAAGTTGTGAAAGATATTCAAATTTATTACTTTAAATAGTTACAACTTTCCTAAAATTTGCAAAGAGTGAGATTTGTTATTGAACATTCTAAGAATATCTCATTATATGAGCTCGCAAGGTGAAAACGAACACCAAAGTATCGTTAAAACGGGAAACTTATAGTCAACCCAACTGGCATATTCCTTTATTTATTTAGTACAACGTTTGGACTCTATTTTTTGGGTCCTTATCAAGTAGTATCAAGTGAGTCATCGTCGTCGCATAAGACAGGGTCGAATTATAAAAATACGTGTACGTTATAATTTTTAACCATCACTGGCAACTATAAGCAAACTCTCCCTTCGACCAAAGTTTAGTATTCTGTACTTTGAGAGGTGTCATTCTAGGATTGTCTCACAACTTATCAAGCAACAGCAACTTATCGAGGAAATTAGCGTGATAGAGTGAGTGAGAGTAAAAATGAGAGAGGGGGAGACAATGGGAAGGAAAGAGGAAGAGAGAAAAGAGGTCCGTAGAGGGCAAGAGCAGGAAATAACAGGACATCGTCGCGTCTCAAGACAGCCGCCTTGGAAAAATGGAATTCTCATTTCTATCCTCAGTGATACGGGAAAGAATGGAGCATCCGTGGAGCTGGGACAGCGGGAGGAAAGTCGGCATGCCGGGATCCTTTCCGATCGGGGATCCTTCCGCGCGCAAACAAATAAAAGGAAATGATGCTTTTCCTCCTGCGAAACAAACGGGTACAAGCGTTTTAAATAATAGAATTTGCAAACAATGCGAGTTTTATTAGGCGAGAGAATTTTACGACGTTAACGTCAGAACGCCGAAAGGAATGGCGACATAAATCCGAGGCTTAATCGCGGATTAGGAGGAGAGAAAAAGGGAATATCAAGTCGAGCCTCTTCTGCTTTTCGCAAATCTCGTCCGCCGTTATTCTGCAAATCGATTGATTTCGGGAGATCCCTCGCAAGATCTTCGTCAATTTAGTCATTCGTTCGCGCACGAGCGGTAAGGTCTACGACCCCGAGTCCTTTTCAGCCGCTCGATTACGCAATTATTTGAATAATTTCCGCTGCCTCGGGTATATTGCGCTGCTTTAATTAATAAAATCGAGGAACTTGGCAAGAAACGTAAAATAATCGCGACGTGGAAAAAGCGGGGAGGGGAAAACTCCCATCTCGGACACGCGTGGATGGCTGCGGCCTCCTCATAAGGGAGGAAAGTATTTTCCAATAGCGCCCTCAACGAAGGTGGCGGCCGGTAGGGTGGGACGATATTTCACGCACATAATATCACGCGCGAAGGAGCGAGACGGGACGAGGGTGAAGAGAGGGGTGGCAGAAGGAGGTAAAGAAAGATGGGGCGGCGGGGGCGCGCTTCCCCTTATCCTCTCAGCCGTGTCCATTCCCGGAGGGGCTTTCGCAGGGGCTGTTAACCGCTGAACGTTAACCGTGAGCACGACCACGAGGATGGTCTACTGCTGTTACTGGATGAAGATATAAAGGGAGACAGCCAATATCCCCGGCAATGTGTTACCGCGCCGATCCGCGCGTGCTCGTCCTCGAAAATATCGCGAACCCTGCAAAAGAGTTCGGCGGTGGGGGAGGGGGAGGGGGGCGGCGGCGGATATCGGAGGAAGAAATTTCGAGCTGATATTCCCGCTGGTTTAAGCTACTTCTCATTTCTGAACACTTTTCCCGTTCCTCTCTCCTACCCCCCCCCCCCCGGAGCGAGGTATGCGTTATGAAGATGGCGATTTTCTCGCGACAGATGGCATACGAGTGACGAACTTCTCCGCGAGATATTCCGATCGCCAGTTCTTGAGGCTTTCCAGCAATCTGCACTTGAGATTCCCCCGTAAGAATCTTCGCGTTCTCCCGCGATGACGTTATATTATAATTTTACGATAACATAATACGCAGAATTTTTAAATCGTACGGGAGGACGCGCTTCCGTCAAATTCACGGGTACTCTGCTCTCTACGCACGTGTGAGTTTTGAGGAGATTAAATATCCAACTTTAAAGGTTTAAAGATCGCGCGTTGCGTGACTATTTACAAATGTAAAGATTCGAGAATTTGCGCGCGTCTCAATTCGCCTTCTTCTACCGCGAGAAAGCAACGGAATTTTTACAAAGACGCGTAAGCTCGCTTCGCCGCCTCGTCGAGGATCTCGTTAGCGGATTCGACCGCGATTCGACGGATCGATATAAATTGCTTCAAATAAGTCGCGTAAGTCGATCGAATTCTTTAGGGATGAGGAGAGGCGAGTCCACCCCCGTCTTTTTATCTGCGAATACGCAATTGGCCTAATGCGTAATTAACCGACGCGAAATACTGTAACGAAGCTCATGTAAAACTTGCTGCTCTTCAATTATGTGTAATGCGAAAGCGCTGTTAATCATTTATGAGATGCGCGCGGGCGCGGGCGTGTTCTCTGAATAATTGCGAGCGCAGCGGCGAACGGTTCAGAAATTTCGACTGGCTGCGTTCTCCAGAAAATTTATTAATTACGCCCGCCTGAATTTTACAATCTACAACTATAACCGTTTTTAACGAAACGCCGCTTCTTCCAACTTTACGGCGCGCGTTGGTTTATAAGCTCCCGCGAATACATGCTCCCCCCCTCCCCTATGGTCGATATATCATTCCAACCGCGTTGGAAACTCACGTGTTAACTCTACAACTTTTAGGGACAGTTTCACAAACGTCGGTTAACCGTTAACCAGTGTTCAGTCGACTCCCTTCCATCTTATTATTTAAGAAGAGACGGAGAATGAATTAACCTTCGGTTAACCGTTAACCAAAGTTCAGTCAACTTCCTACCCTTTTCTATCTTTTGTTATCTAAGAAGAGCCAAAGAATCAATGAGCCTTCGGTTGGCAGTTAACCGCGACGTTTGTGAAACTGGCCTTTAATCACTTACCCCGAATGACGGTGGGGCTAATGGCGAGAAAATGCACGCACGCGGCGCCGGTGCCCTGGCCCATGAGGGTGACATTCTCGGGATCGCCCCCGAAGCGCGCGATGTGCTCCTTAACCCAGTGCAGAGCGGCGATCTGGTCCATGAGGCCATAATTCGCAACCCTCGCCTTGGTCTGCGGCGCCACGTTGGCGTTCAGGAAGCCGAGCACGCCCAGCCGGTAGTTCATGGTGACGATCACTTGGTCCGTGTAGCTCGCTAGGACGCTACCATCGTAGGGGTTTCCGCTGCCCCAGTCGTAGCTCTCGCCGTGAATGTACAGCAACACCGGATGCTTCCTGCCGCTCTCCGCCATGCCTGCGAGCACAAAGGGATCGCGTCGCGACGCGACGCGACGTCGTTTTAGTTCCTCTTTCGCCGGCGGCAAGCTGAGGTGACAAAGACGACGGTGCCGGGCGGTTGTGTCGGCGCCATCGTCTTCTTTGTCACGGACATGTCGGGTACACGAACCGTCTACCTGCCGAAGCGGGCTCGTATCCGGACACGACCCGGCATTGTCCCGCGTTCCGGCAAAATGCGGGCCATGTTGAGTGCCGCGAGATTATCACAGTTCTTTCGCAAATATTATTACGGGCAAGAGTAACAGGCACAAAGAGCAATAAACAGATTTCTAGTTGCAAAGAGGTTTTTTAAAAGTGCACGGGTATTTTTTAATATAACCTTCTTATTTTCAATCGGATCGTTAAGTTCTCTTCACGAAACTGTAGTCATCTCTGGGCACCGTAATATTTAATACTAAGCTATTTCACAATACATTTGTGTAGTATATTGAATAATCGACATTTTATTTCGTTCCAGGACATAAAGTTCTGAAAGTTGGTAGGAATAAGACATGAAATTATCGAGCCGTAAAATTACAGAGAACCGCACTCGTACCATCTTGGAAAGCTTTACGACAGCGGCTTCGCTAATACGTCCCTTTTAAAGGAAAAAAAAGAATATCTTTGTCTGTTTCAAAAGAATTATTATCTAACAATAAGTAAGAATCTTAATTTTGAAAAAAAGTGCACCGGATGAATAAGAACTAATGCTGTTTCTGCACCCACGATTGTCTCTTTGGTCATCGATTTCTCGAAGAATTCGGAATGGATTCTCTCCCTTTTTGTAGGACGAAGACAAGAAGCAAAGATATCCAAGTTTTTCTGACGCGTGTCCTTGATTCGTAACGGCTTTCAGTTTTGTTTCCATACTTTTTTGTTACAAAATGACATTCCACGGAAAGTTTTGCGACTATTTCTTCCCTCTTTCCCTCCTCTCTGTCCGTGGCCAGATGCAACTTTCTATGTGACTAGACACACGGTCAACATATCGCTCTTTGTTTCGATAAGAGCCACTTCCGTTTTACTTTCGCGGCCATAACGACGGGAGTGGCGCGGCGGAGTGACGTGGCAAGTGGTAGGTCCATATTTCGCGATAAGGAACGTCCCCGGAGAGTCCTTCGATGAAAGAAATCTACAATTCCGATGTTCTTACTGTATGCACTTTCCCGGCGGTCCACACGCGCGCCCGGGATTCAGAAAATGTAAGAAATAAATTTACCTTAGTTGAGGAACTTTACACTTTTTCGAGCAGACAGATTTCGGAGGGCAGTTTTTGAAAAGTACGCGCGTTCCGATTTATTCGTCGTCAAATTTCGTGGCATCGGGACTCCGGCGCGGCTGTTTCGTGGGACTAAATGGAAACTGTCGGCATTTCTACCGTTGTATTTAATTATTGTAATTAATGGATACACCGTCGCGCGCCGACCCGCCGACGCCATTTTTCTCTTTCGTAAAAGAGTCGCTTTAAAATAACATTATCCGTCCCTTCGTTGGAGATTGCGATTACCAAACGCGGGATTTTCCCTCTTTTAGATCACCCTCATTCAGCGATCCCTTTTCATGCAACGGCAGGGCATATCTCACCATCTTTCTCTCGCAGTTAGATCTTGATGCTTACCGAGTATTCCGTATCTCGGTATTGGAACAGAGGTCGGGACTCTCTGATCTGTCGGGAAAATTTTTTTCCCTAACCCGCCTCTGATTCTCCCTCCCGACCTCCTCCGAAATTATCTCAGAATCTTAATCAGGTAAGTCTCCCGTCTCAAAGTACTTCGCAAGTTAGCAGCGTATTTGCCGAGACTCTTTATTCGGATTAATGCAGATCCATTTTAAATCCGTTTTCCTTCACTGCGCACACAGAATGTCTCCCGCGATACTATAACGAGGACAAACTGCATAAAAGATGGTACTAAAAATTTGTACGAATATACCAGAAAATTTGTGCCAACTTTTCCACGGTATATAAAGCCACGTTCTTCTAGAGAGACGTTTCTTAAATAACCCAACGTTATCAACTGCGCCAAGTCAAATATGAGATAAATGCTCGGAATGCAAAGTTATTAGACTGTAAAAATGTTGCTGTTCGCCGCAACAGGGGCATGACTCAAACATTTTTTTAAACAATAAAATTCGTAAGGCTTTGACGTGTAATCACCATTCGAAGGAATAAAGGATGTAGGAGCCAAGACAGGATGTTTGTGTCTCGATGATTTTAATTTTTTAATTTATTGCGAAAAATTTATCTTATCGAGGGTTTAAAAAATGTCTTCCAGCGAATGAGTTTGTGCGTTTCGAATTGTTAAAAATTTTGTAATTTAATGCTCAAATGCGATTTTGATGTAACACCGATTGTAGAGGAATACAAGTATCTGGCTATGTATTAACTTTTTATTCAGCGTATTGAATTCCCGCCATGTTATCGCAGGTAACTCAAAAATGACATTTTTCTAATTATTTCGATAAACGAATAATACACTTGTAAGCATAAAACTAAATTGAAGTAGAGAAAGAATGTGGATTTATTTTCTGGATATGAACATCGTGAGCATTTTATTTCACGTGGCTCGTACATACCGTCGTTCCGGATCGTGGAAAAAGATTTATATATATATATATATATATAAATTGTGGTACACAGAGGCTTAGATAAATAAGCTCCAAATACCAAATTTTTCCTGGAGCATTCGGCGGCGCATTGTACTGTTAACGTTGACATAATTGAAGCGTATTTCTGAAAAAATCGAGTCATTTGAACCTTTGCGGATGGCAGTGAATTAATGGTAGGCTGGGCGGACATTAATCGAAGCGAACCGGAGATAAATTTGGCGATTGGGCGAACGAGCTGTTGCACTCAAATGTTTCGAAATGGCTGCGACGCGAAAATGTTTAACGCCAAAACGCGATATTACAGCGGGCTTTCTGCATTTGCTGGGAATACTCGATAAATCCGGTTCGGAAAATAGATTAGCGCGATAGGTCATCAGCGAGACTTCTCACGACATGCGCGCATTGGTATCAATTTATTCATGCACCCCGTTGCCAACCCCCCCCCCCTCTCGCTCTCCCCCTCCCCCGCCCCTACCCCCCGCCCCTACCCCCCTTCCCCGTGATCAAAACAACGGATGTCAAACATGCCTGAAATAGTTTCAACTTTGTCTCCGCAGGCTTTGCATAATAAGCATCGACATGGCGCTCGTTAATTAACGTTGCCAGATGAGTTAATATTAACGAGCGTTGATAATCGTAACGCTCTGACGCTGACTTTCAATGGTCTTTCATTATTTCGAAGCGTGACAGCGTTATCAGAAATTGCTTTGCGCGAGGCGTATTTTAATGCCGAAATAATTAAATAATTAATACGTCCCGTCTGAATCTCAAATGTAATTTGACGTAATGATGGGGACGTAATACGCGCGACAATTTACGGGGACGCATCGCGACGGCCCTTTTTCTCTCGGCAAAATAGTAGTAATCCCAGTTTAAAAGTCAAAGGGCGAATTTGTTAGCGTAACAATACGTCGCCGCGGGGTCGACCATTTTTGCAATGATGTTATTCGTCCATCATCGGAAATCCGATTACTCAGTCCCGCTTTGGCCTGTGCTTTCGGAGTATCATTTTTAGCTCGTTATTGTGACAATCTGGCATGTAAAGCCCGGTTTATACCGTCCACTTTTGATCATCTGCATCATCTATCAAATTAATCGATCGACGGAAAGAATTGCGAAAACAGAGAAATATTCTATTTCTTTCTCTCCTTAAATATACAAAGTTGCGCACATTTCTATTTGCTTCGTCTAGTGCAATACGTTAACTTACGGTTTACATGCGTTTGATTAAGGTCTAGGGGCTCGGTACTTGAATTCACTCGAAGGAGAAACGTACGCGAAAATTCTGCTCTGACAGAAAAGTTGCAAAAGTCGATTGGTTAAAAGCCACGCGGATAGTCAATCAATTTGCAACTTTTCTGTAAGAGCAGAATTTTCGCATACGTTTCTCCTTCGAGCGACTTCAAGAGTCGAGCCCCAGTAATTTTGCCTCGAATTTGATTAATATTACAAGCAAGTGAAATGATTTTTCCAGATTTCAGACGTTTCCCCGAGTTTTGAGACACTGCAATTGCAAGATCTAACAAATGAGGATAAATGGGGTTATTATCTAGGGTGAATAGTGTAAATTCGGTGTAACGTGGATCAATTATTGCTGGCGATATTACGAGAGATTGCGTAGCTGTAACGCGGTGAAACTTGCAGGCGGCTTCAGTAACTTTATCGCTCGCGACTCATTATGCACAAACAGAATCAAAAGTACGTAATTACATCGCGAACTTTGCAGTGCAAACTGCGACGGGCATAATCCGCACATAATGTGCGCAGTACGTGAAAGCAAATTAATTACTTCGTTCGTCGCAATATCGCCAGCAAGTTTGTAAACGCACGGACAAAGCTTGGCTGCGCCAGATTTTGTTATGTTTTAACAATAATTAATTTTGTATCGCTTTCTATGACGTCTTCGTTATTTCACAACATCATTGGCCCGTTTTGAAGCTGAAATTAATGAAGCAGTGTAAATAAATTACCGCTAACCTCTGCTGCGTATAAAGTTTTATTTTTAATCCGGGCGACATTTCAAGAGGGAGTTATATTTCAGATTTATCTTCATAATTAATCTGCTGTATTTTGTTTGCTATTCATGTTTATTGAATCGACAAATATGAGACACTGCAAACGATGAAAAGGATCGAAAGATTAAATAAGTTGTACCTGAAGCACCACAAGTGTACCGTAAAGGTGTGCGATTTAATTTAAATTTATTTAAAATACTAGTTTGCCGTATAAATAAATCACCGATGTTGCAGGCGTGATTATATTTGGACAAATTACATATTTGTCAATTGTAAGGATGAATGTTGGAAGCTGTGACTATATTTTTAATAAAAAAATTATATTTAACAAACGCAAAAGAGTACGGTACAAT